CCTCCAAAACTCTTTTTTCTGCTCCTTCCCCTGGGAAACTCGGAGGAGGAGGGGGAGGAGGAGGAGGAGGGGGAGGAAGGGGAGGGGGAGGAGAAGGAGGGGGAGGCCCCTTTGCTGAGCCAGAGGGGCTCCCAGGACAGGGAGCAGGCGGTGAGCGGAGTCTGCAGAGCCCACTGCCCAAAAGGCTGGTCCCTTCTGGCCCTGCCTGTTCGGGGAGGGCAACCGTGGGGGCCAACAGAGTTAAGATGGTGGCCATGCAGTCGGATCCCTGCTCCTTTCTGACATGCACCAATACTCAAACAGAGACAACACGGTCCTTCTCCGCTGAACAAGGGTCTTTCTCTGTGCTCCTTCTCTCCCAGAGTTACTGCGGGGAACAGGCGGAAGGCGGCCATCTGGCCTCCATCCAGAGCTTGGCAGAGTCAGCTTACGTGGCCAGACTGGCCTCCAATCATACCCGCATCGTCGGTCTCTGGATCGGACTGAGTGGTACAGGGAAGGTAGGTCCTCTCCAATGCTAATCTTCATCGATTCCCCTTTCCTGTTTTCTTTTTCTTTTTAAGGATCCTCCGGTTCAAAGTTCAATGTTTTTGCCTTGGAAAGTGACAGAGAAAACCAAAGCAGAAACCCTTTTACTCCCATCCTCTCTCTCTCTCTCTCTCTCTCTCTCTCTCTCTCTCTCTCTCTCTCTCTCTCTCTCTCTTTACTCCCATCCTCTCTCTCTCTCTCTCTCTCTCTCTCTCTCTCTCTCTCCCCTCCCCAAATCCTTCCTTCCTCCTGAAGGACCCACTGCGGTCTTGAAGGGCCGGATCCTGCCCCGGCCCCCATCTCAGCCCCCAGGCCTTCCTCCCTCTGGAGGGCCCCTTGGATGGGCTCCACACCTGGGGGAGACTCTGCTGGGCCTTCAGCTCAGGGGCTTTAGAGGCCTGGCCTGGGGGGGCTCTTCTTTCCTCCCCCCCTTTTTTAATTTAACACAGAAATTCCTCCTTTCTGTGACCGGCAGGATTTCGTCTCCTGCTCTGTTGCGTTTTCAGCTCTTGGAAGAAGCTGGATCATGTACAAAGGAGGGGGGGGAGATTCCCTGGAGTTGGAATCAGCTCCTGCTGACTTTGTGAATAGAAATGTCAATTTCTGGCAACAACAAAGGAGTAGTCTGCTCCCACCACACTAACTAACTAACTAACTAACTAACTAACTAACTAACTAACTAACTAACTAACTAACTAACTAGCCAACTCTAGGATACTTTTCCATTCCTGAGTGTTCCACGTGGTGACTTCATGGAAACCTCCAGGTAGTTTTTTTTTCTGAAATCTTTCTTTCCCTGGATCTCCTGATGGTCACCTATCCAAGCATGAAGAGAGAGAGGGGGAGGGAGGGAGGGAGGGGGAGAGAGAGAGGGGCTCTTCCCAGTGAAATCTGCCAGCTTTTCTCTCTCTGCCCTGGGCCCTGCAGAGTCGGAGCCCCCTCCTCACTTGGTAACATGGCTTCCCAGGCATGCCAGGAACCCAACCGGCAATGGAGTGATGGCTCCCCCTTCGGCTACCATTCATGGAAAAAAGGACAACCCGACAACCTTTTATGGAACTGCGTTCAGCTGTTGCCCTCAGGTAAGCTGAGATGGAGGGGAGGGAGCTGTTCCCATAATGAAGAAATATTAATGCTTGCTCAGTCCCATCCAGAGCAGCTGAAAAACCAGTTTGGTCTAGTGGTTAAAGCACCAGATTAGAAAGGGGGAGATGGTGAGTCCTAGTCCCGCTGTAGGCCTAAAAGCCAGCTGGGTGACTTTGGGCCCATCACCAGGAGACGGGGAGTTCTAGTCCCAGCTTCTGCATGAAAGTGGCTAGGTGATCAAAATGTCTCTTTTCCTGCCCAG